TTTCTGAGTTCCTAGGTCTGTTAAAATAAATCTTTAAAACTTGTTGTTGGATCCTCTTAATTTGCTTCTTGTCATTAAGAGGAAGATACATAACAAGAATATTAATTTTTAAGTGGTTTATAATTAGAAACAGTTCGAGTAAGTATTCATTATGTTTTCTAAGACCTGCTAAACTTTTTTGAATTTTTCCGCTAATTAGAACTCCTATTCCAGAGCCTTTTTTTTTATTAACATTAGCACCTGACCAATAACCTTTGAATGGGCTTTCTGGAGAGAGTATATATTGGCCTTCCTTTTCTGCTATATTTGTTTCTGTGATTCCTAACATATCGATATTTTTTCTTTAGCCCAATCTATTAAATGTAAAAGTTTTTGATTGTTCAATTTAAGACCATTAATGTTGTGACATGCTAAATTTAAATTGTAATCTAGGGCTTTATAGGTTATCTTAAGTGGAGTTTGCCCTGACGAGCCAACTTGTTTGTTTGTTTCTGTTAATACAACTGAGGCGCCCTTAGGAGCAATTGGAAACTAAAGCCCCTTGTTTTTCTTCAATTTTCTGTAATCTGTTTAAGATTTGCTCTAGAATACTATCATGTGTACTGGGTACAGATGTAGATATGTGTCTTGAATTACTAGAGCTTCTATTGCTTGGCTTTATCTTTCCATAAACATTTTCATCTTAAGTTAATCTGAATTCTTCCCTACTCTTTTTTCTCTCCTAATTTAACCTATTTGATCCAGTTGCATACTCTTTCTCAGAATTTCTAAGAGGCTTACGAGTATTACTACGGGTTCTAAGATTACTATTATCTCCACTGTTTTCCTTATTTTCAGAAGAGGTGTAAATAGAGAATCTGGTTCTACTGCTAGATTTGAAAAGTGCGCATTTGTTTTGGTGCTTTTCACTTGGTGTTTCGATTTCGTTCAAAACTCTTTTACCTTTGTTTATGTTTTTGACTTCTCTCTTGTAATAAAATGCATTGAGAGTGTTTTTTCTAGTTAGCTCTTCTGAAGTTTGGTACCATTCAAGCTTAGTATTAAAGTAATAGATATTGCAACTTTGGGCTGCTAAGAGGTCTTCTTCCAATTTAAAATATAGGTGAGCTCTTTTTTTTGGATTTCCATTATGATTTTTTAATATATGTACTGCTTGAACTTTAAATTTTTTGAGTTGGCACAAAAGGAGGCTATCGTATGCCATAGTTGGTATGTTTGAAATTATACATTTATAGCTATTTCTTTCTTCTATTTCAGTGATATCAAACTTTCCTGGTGTTGTACGATATGTTTTTTCTTGATCTAAATGAACTGACCAACTTTCTTTTAATAACTTTGCTCTCTGTTTAGAACTTGGCAAAATCTTAATATATATCACTTTAGTTCTGAAGTTTTGCTGCCATGCGAAAACAGAAGCTGTACCAAAGGATCTAAACTAATTTCCTTGGGTAAGTCCCAAATTGTGAAGAGATAGACTGGGTTTTGTAGTTGTTTATAGTAGAAAATTTTGCTTTTTGGAGCCCAAACCAAATTAAATATATCCTCATGTTGTTTAAGTTTTTTAGCACTAGCTTGTGTTGTTGTTTTTATATTTGCTTTAGACATTTTCTTGATGAGTTCATTCAGACCATAGTCGAGTGCTCCACACTCATTTTGAGCTAAAGTATCTTTAACTAGTTCTAATCTATTTTCTGAACTATGTAGAGTCAATTCCTGTTCTATAAGATTTCGTTTGCGTGGATTTTCTTGAGGTTCTATTTCTATATTGTTTGTTTGTATAGAAGTTGTAACAACTTGAACTATTGAAGTTGCTTCAATAGAATATGATTCTAATTTGATTTTAATGTTATTCTTGTCAATCTGATCTAAATTTTGTTTTTTAGAACTATCTATTGATTTTCCCTCTTTTGCAATCATGTTGTTGTTGTTTTCTTGGGAAATTTTAGTGGAGTGTGAAGATGAAATTTCTGTAGAGTTTAATTTTGCTGCAGCTGATTTGTGAGTCCTCTGTATCTATGTTATCAATCTGCATGTTAGTGATATGAGTAGAATTTAAAAGAAATTTTTCCTCTTCAGTTAAGGTTTGATCTCTAACTTTTTTGTATTGAGCATAATCATAAAATTGTAAAATGTTGCAGACAATTGCGATAAGATATGTTTCGCTTGTTTCTAAGTAATTTGCAACTTTTCTATCTGCCTCAAAAATAAATGAATTTTGTTTTTCTTAAATTCCTACTCTTTCTAATTCTGACTTAGTAAAGAAGTTTTTGTAGTCAACGAGTTCTAGCATTTTACGTGTGTTGTTTGTTTACTTGAGTTTCTATTTTACGCGTACTGTTTGTTGTTTGAAGTTACACGTATTCTTTGTTTTGTTGGTTGATTATCTTCCGATTTGACTTATTTGTTTGTTCTTCTAAAATGGACGTGTTTGTTTGTTTGTTTTGTTTGAATGTGATCTGCAATACAGGGTTAATGGCAATTCCCCAAAAGTTGCTAAAAAATTTAAAATTTTTGTTGAAAGTGTATAATTTTCTTGGTAGCACACTTTAGAGGACATAGTGTGCAAAGTTGTTCTAGAAAACTCAAGTTCTTTTCTTGTGTTCTATTCTTTTGCTTGAAGCAAGTTCTATTGTTGACTTAATAAAATTGTGACTGAGCCTTGGTTGTTCTTTAGCTCTAAATTTGGTTTTGGTGATCAATGATATATATATTATATAAATAATATATATACTGTATATTTTATAAGTTAATATGTATTATTTGTTGTCTGTTCACTAGGGTTTGGGGCATGGGGGTGTGATTATTATTATTCACATGGGCATAGGGAAGTGATGCTAAAACATCACATAGAAATAAACAGTAGCATGTAACATGTTATTAATTATATTCACGTGATAATTTAGTGTCACATCTCATGCCCAATGTGATGATTTTCCACTCTACTGTTTACCCATATGATCATATCCGCATGACCTGCCCATATGAGTAATTGACTAGTTTTTTTTTAATTCGCTTCAGATTTACAACAGTACCTGTTTTCCTAGTTATACTATACATACATATGTACAAGTACTATAGCTAATATCGGATGTTCTCAAAGTTTCTATACATGATCTCTATATAAATAATCACCGTGATCTCTATATGTAAGATTACTTTAAAAAATAACAACTATGTATAAGAACTTTGGAATACCTGGTAGGTAGCACTATACGATAATATAATTAGGCAGTTGCTACAAACAAGTTTGCTAGAGCGGCCTTTTCAATGTTTGCAAATAATTAACATTATTGTTATAGCTGCCACAATGTATAATTAATTATGATATTAAATGTTGGGGCCACTCTAGTAAATAGCAGTTTCATAATCATAAACACTTAGCATTAGTATAATTGATCTTTTTATATGTAACATACAAAAGATTCCAAAATTCTGGATCAGAATAATAATAAAACTATAGTTGTTCATTAAGTAAAATGCCTAGCTAATAATACTATTGATATAGCACCTATTAATTAGCCTAGCCCTAACCTGAAAATTTGAATGACGAAAAGGGAAAATCTGTAAATTATTACATCACAGAAATGGTTTTACAGGTTTTTGGTGTTCTATATATGCATATTCTAGTGCATTATTTTTAGCATGCACTTACATACGTATGTATAAAGATTTACTATAAAGTATACTTATATATATATTTTACTATGCATATACAGTCTAATTGAATATGATATATGTATCCCTTAAATTGTAACACAGGCAAATTTGCCTGCGAAGATTTTTACTAATTTTTTTAATATTTAAATTTTTTA